CCCCCCCCCCCCCGCTCCCCTTCGATCGCCACGAGCGGTGCTCCCTTCTCACCGAAGGTCAAGGAAGGCGAAAATGTCGGCGTGCCACGGCTCCAGGTACATGGCGAAGGAACCCTTGCGCTTCCCCCCTCCCTGATGATGGCATTTTTTTTTTGGGGGGGGGGGCGGGTTTGAGAGACGGAGACACGAGGATAAGGAAACATGCAACGCAAAGGGGTGGGGCGCACCTGGACCATAAGTCTACTGGGAAGAACTCAACCGAAACGAAACCTTCCCCGCTGTCCTTTCGCGAAGTGGTACGCGAAGCGATAAACGACGCGCAACGGTCGACATACGTTGCCTCTGGCACACGATGCAGAGCGATGAGCAACACGCAACACATGGACGAGCGCCTTGCGCACTATGGAGAGCGACAGACGACACGTAGTATCAAGGAGACATGTTGCCTCTTGCACTTTATGCTGAGCGACAGACGTGACGCACCATGGAGAGATATTTTGCCTCCAACGCACTACGCAGACAGAATACATGGCACCCAGCATGGAGAGATATGTTGCCTCTTGTGCACTACGTAGAGCGACACACGACATGCGGCATGGCAAGAAAAAAAAAAACTCACGATCTGCATTTGCTACTGCCTGCTCTCGTTGTCGGCAAGGGAGCAACACTCAGCGAGAGAGAAATTTAATGCTACGTATATTGCCGGTAGGATTAGCTTATTTGGAGATCGAAGGAGGATCGTTCGCACAAACGCTCCGCAAACAACATACGCCGTTCGACGTAGCGGAACCACACGACACGCAACATAGAGAAGTGCCCCTTCCGATTACAGACGACGCGCAACATGGAGAGATGGGGTGCCTCTTACATAGAGCGGAGACACCACACGCAACGTGGGGACCGTCTACGCAGAATTAAAAGAGTATATAGAAAATGACTAGGGAGAGGGCACGCAGACAATATCCCTAACCCTAACCCTAAGGCAGGGATTGAATAATTTATCCCATGGTGTTTGCTTAATCAATTATGCTCCAAGAAAAGTGTGCAACGTGGCGAGAAGGACAAAGAAAATTGTCACACACACCTGGTCCACGTAGCGGGCGGTGTCGTTGAACACTCTGAGCATGGGCACGAGACCGTTGGAAGAGCCGTTGGACCCGGCCACGTAGGAGTCCGTCGCCCGGATGCTGTGGATCGAGACTCCGATTCCTCCCGCGAACTTGGAGATGCACGCGCACTGATGCATGCGGGGCGCGACAAAAAAATAAATAAAGAAGTAGTTAGGCAGAGAGAAAAAAACAAAGCCGGCAAAAAACGGCGGCACCAAACACGCTTCTACCGACAGCAGTCCAATACGGGTATACCGAGGGAGAAACGCCTTCGACGGTGTCGAAGAGGCGTGTTGGGCGCAGCAGGGGAAAACTCGACGGGGATCGATGAAGGAGAATACTCGAGGGGTCTGTCTACATAGATAACGAGGGACGACCGGTGCACAAAAAAAAGGATCTCCGTAGATGATGATGACGCAGGATCGATGGGGGACGGCCCTCGGCGTTGGCGGCGTTGGCCGCGGTGGCGCTCTATGACCAGGACACATATACTGCACCTGTTTGAGCGTGTCGTAGATGCCCTCGATGCTGTCCTCCTTCACGTTGAGCAGGAAGCAGCTGGACAGCTGCGGGCGAGGGGTCCCGGCGTTGAACAGCGTTGGGGAGGCGTGGGTGAAGAGCCGTTGCGACATGAGGTCGTACGACTCGATTGCGCTGTCGATGTCGGTCTGAGAGACAGAGAGAGAGTGAGGGAGGGAGACGGAGAGAGACAGAGAGAGAGAGAGAGAGAGACGGAGAGAGAGAGAGACAGAGAGAGAGAGAGAGAGAGAGAGAGAGAGAGAGAGAGAGAGAAAGAGACGTGGAAGGTTGTACAGACACGAGGCGGGGGGCACGCCAAAATACGAGAACAGGGGGTAGGGGGGGGTTAAACTACACGCTGAAACACAAGTCTGAGATACATCGAATGATGCATGAACCCTAACAGAGGAGAGGCGCAGGAAGGGCCTCGACGGAAAGGATCAAAGAAAAAGAAAAAGAACAACAGAATAGATGTGCCTTCGTATCCAAGGACGTAAGAGAAAGCAAGAAAGGGATGACATACTAGCGCGCCCGATACACAACTGCAAACAACCAAGTACGCCGTGCAACAAAATCAGACACGCCGGTTCTGTGGCGGCGAGGAAGCAGTCGAAAGCAAGCAAGCAAGTACCTGGTGGATGCCGATAGCGACTCGCATGAGCATGTGCTGGATGCGCTCGACCACGACGCCGTTGGCCCTGTGAAAACGAACATAACAAAAATAGCATCTTCACGTAAAAAAAAAAAAAAGCGCGAGCGCAAAAGCGATGACGAGACGAGATGATGGGATAGACCCCGGAGAGATGTGCTACGGTTAACGACGGCAACCATCTACGCGGGCCACCAAAGAGCGACAGAGAACAAGAACACGGGGGTGGGGGTGGGGCTGCTGACCAATGACACGAGGTCAGTCAGTGCGGCTGAAAACGGCATGAGCTCCTATAGGCCATGATCTGGGACCAAGTGAGGGGTAGGCGAGAGGCTATTCTCCGGATTGACGACGGAAAACGGTGCGTCGTAGAAGAGAGCTACGCGTGCGTTGGCGTTGGCGTCTGTTGTTCCTCGCTCGACGACTGTCTCTACCCGGACAAGCCACACAACCAAAGGTGTTCAAGTGGACAGAATCTTACCTCTACAAGGTTCCCATATAACGGTTTTTAAGACGAATTTTGAAGAGGAGGCGTGTTCGTCGACAGGCCGAACAACACAAGGATTCGACAGCACGGATGCCTCTACCCCGACAAGAGCTACACAACACGCAAGGGTTTTCGACAAGTCCGGGGGGCGTGTTCGCCAACTTCTTGTTGACGGAGGTGTTCGACCCCCGTCCCCGTCCCTTGCCTGAGGAGGTACGACTTCTCAAGGGTCTTGAAACCGAAGTAGTCGTACTCGAAGTCGCGCTCGTCCTGGATGGCGGCGTCGAGGACCTCTTTGTTCTGACCAAAACAAGAGACACGACCACGCAATGAGACGTTGATTACTATAATCACCGTTGAACCCGAAATAATAATATCACAAAACAGACAAGGACGGAGATGCAAGTAAAAGCAAACAGACAAAACATGTTTCGCTGTGGGTGGGCACACGCATGGGCGGGAAGACGAGCAAACGGGCAAACGAAAGCAAAGAACAACGCAAACATCTCGCGCACACGCTCACACGGAACAACAACAACAACAACAACAACAACAATACCTCCATGACGATGCGGAAGACCTCGTCGGAGATGAGCGACGACCTCTCTCCGGTCTGTGGAAGCACGTAGGTGTGCAGTTTTTCAATGGTCTTGCTGAAAGTCTTCCAGGTGCACTTGTGGAGGTTGGACACGGAGATACGAGCCGCCAGGAGCGACATGTCGGCTGCTCGTCGAAGGGGAGAGAGCGAGGGAGGGAGGGAGAGGGAGGGAGGGGCAATGGGAGGAAGGGAGACAGACAGACAGACAGACAGAGGGGGAGAGGGATGGCGGGGAGGACGGGGGGAGAGGGAGAGAGAGAGAGAGGGAGGGTCAGACACAGGGAGGGAGAAGCGGGTCACGGCGTCGACGGGAGAGCGGCGGAAGCACAATTTGTCCGCCTGCCTCCACGTCGACGGAAAATATCGGGTCATGTTAACCGACTCGAGACAGAGGAATCTAACTCTCTTGGGACCCGTTCGAGTGCCAGTTGTAAGAGGGAGGGGGTTTTGAAACCAAGCGAGGCGAGGCGTGCTAGTTCGTAACGCCGTCGTGGATCCTGGCTGGCTTCCCTACAACAGGCCCGAGACAATGCACGTGACGCTTCGCCGAGCACTCACGAACTGCACACCGCGTGGCTGTCAAGTGGCATACACTATTCAACGCTTGTGGGGTGGGGGGCGTACTAGTTGGCCACAGCGGTCCCATGGGTTTCCAGAACTTGAAGGTCACACGTTCCACCTACCTGCACGTGGATGTGTGAAGAATTTGGCGGCAGCGCTCTTCCGTGCGGCAAAAAAAAACGGTTGTATTTACAGATGGGCGGAAAAACCGGTGTTGCAAGTGGATGCCAAATACCCATATTAATCGGTACTTCTCACACGCAGGTGACATCGACGAAATCCGTACGTACGGCCATATCCTACCTATCCGCGGACGACAGCACCCGCAGAGGCAATTAGAACTAGGAGTTTGTCTACGTGAATACCAATCCATCAATACAGATGATGTAAATCGATGAAAAAACAAACAAAAACTACACATGCGCACAAAAGGCGTGACAGGAAGACAGCGAGGTGCTGCAGCACTTAGTACACATGCTTTGCGTACGGCATATATAAAAACAAACTACACGTGCGCACTAAGGGCTAGACAGGAAGACAGCTAGATGCCTTGCGTATGGCATACCACTCCCCCCACTCCCAGTTCGCCTCCACCGCGAATGAAACGCTACGAGAGACGGGAGGAAGACATACAATATAGCTATACCACACACTCATGCTCACGGTGCTGCGTCGCCTGGTAGGCAGCGGTCTGCGCGGCCAGCTCATCGAGCTCGCTCGTCGTCACTCCCGGGTACACCCCGCTGATGACCTTCTGCGCGATGAGGGTGGGCTCCACGTACGTGGGGTCAAGTCCGTAGCACAGGTGACTGATCCGGGCCGTGATCTTGTCGAACGACACCGTCTCCTTTCGGCCGTCGCGCTTAATCACGAACATCCTGCTGCCCTTCTAACTGCCAAAGGATGAACTACTGGTACGCGCGTGTGTGCTGGCGGGGGACGGCAGGATGCAGTAGAGAGGGGATGTTCTCAAGCAAATGCATGTCGTGTTCGTTAGAACTCGCATGCCGGGAGGGAGCGATATACGCCGGGCTGTCGCCCGCCCAGGAAAGGGACTGTGTGTGGGGGTTTAACCAAGAACAACAGCAGACCATCTCCAATATTCTTGATGACCATCCGCGGGCCAACGGAAAGACGAACATGTTGTTGCCTATATCCTCCTGTTGCGCATGAAGTTGTCATTCAAGTGCCAAGTTCATGGCTCAGCACGCGTCGTCGCGGTGTAGTGGACCAAAAAGAGCAACAAGGAACTCCTCGTATGCAATGCCCTCATGGCGCATACTGGTACGAAATGTTAACGCCTTCGCTGTTGGCTAACTGGTGTTGGCTCGGTGCTCTTATCGTAGAGTCAACACTTGCACACACACACAAACTTGAATGACGGAGGCTGAAAACCCGTCGCGGTTATGCCCTCCAGCCGTGAATTGAATCGGCTGAGCGTATTTGGAGCGAGAATCGGATGCCAGGTTGGGTTGCGTGATGATGACAGCGATAATTGCCGAACCAATCCATCCTGGATGAGCACCGCAGTGAGCAAGCACCAGGCACAGCGAGTTGCAGATTTCGAGGCAATCCCCCAACCTGTGGTTTTCGCCCCTCCAACGCTGCAGACCGAGCAGCATCCACAGCAGCAGCATCTAGCCTTTTTTGGTATATTAAATGCCCCGCCCCCCCCAAACAAATGGCCCTCCGCCGGTGTTTGCCATCGGGGTTGGGTGTTCGTCGCTTGGCAACGACGGTGTAAAACAAGTCCCCCCCTCGGTGTTTGCCATTGGGATTGGGTTTTCGTCTCTTGTCAACGACGTTGTAAAACAAGCCAATTCACTTCGTGAACTTGGCAACCAGGTTGCCGTTTATTTTTTTTCACCTCTGTTTTTTTTTTGGCGGTAACCATAATGGTGGTCGAGTAGATCATGTTGTGCGGGGTGGAGAACCCTCACTCCGCGCAAGGGGGATGATCGCACCACGTTGTGTTAAAATGGTCAAGCACCCTCGAGGCAGTTACACAGTGCTTACAACTGTCTCAGGAAGTGAAAGCACCAGAAAATAAATTAAGTCATACGCAGCTGTCATCCGTACGCAAGGAAGTAAGCACAAGATGCCGAAAACCCTTAGCAGGATGCAGCGCACCCTTCATGCGACTCGCCGAATATCTCACGGCGCTTCGCGCTTGGTGATGTGAGAGCCTGGTCCGGTGAGAACCCGGCGTGCTCCGTCCCGGCTTTGTAGGGATGCGAGGTCAATGGTCTAACGACTACGGCATGCACGACTATGAATACCCCTCTCCCCCCGCCCCCTCCTCCCTCCCAAACAAATCGCCACACCATTTCCCTATGTGACGGAAGATACCACACCTCCTGACTGATCAAAGCTGGATTACCCCACGGCGAAAAGGATGCATTAATTCCCCGATTGTAATTTGGGGTCAGCGATACCTTGTCGGAAAGCTTTCGACCAGAATGTTCCAATGCCCCACCACTTTGGGCGCCGTTACTTCTTTGAGCTGCAGAGTAATCGGACTTTGAAAATCGATCCAAGGGGGTGTGATATCTTCCGAACCTATGGTATCCGTGCATATATATGTTCGTTTCTCCTAATATGTACAGCAGAAGATACGCTGTGGCCTCAACGACTCTTCTCTGAAAGCAGCACGTGATATGTAGCTCAGTTATGGACAACGGACTCAACAAGACAGGTAGTTTGGTCGCCATCACGTCATTCGAACTGCTGTACTGCTGAATGTTCGGGACCCCTAAGCAAATACGCACAAAAGGCGTTTTACAGACCGTGGGTGTGCGAAGTCAATAGCCAGCACCTACGCGTATGCAGAGCGCCAGACGATGGTGATAAGCGCACAGTAAGTGGGTGACACTCCTCTGCGCGTGTGAGCACTGCGTCACCTCGTCTTTGGTGGTGTGATCGGTCATAGCTACACCACGATTTTGCTCGAGGTTGTAAAGCTGTTGTGCCTGGCTCCGCCCAACTCTTCGGATCTTTTTCAAACTCGACGAATTCACGAAAAATTCGAATTTCTGGCGCCAAATCAAAAAGAGAGTGCTTCACAGCAGGGCCTCATATCGTATCATTCATCAACCGCAGTAGTTTCGATGCACAGAGCAGAAACCCGCCAGCATGCACCCCGAGGTACGAGGGCGAGGCATGTATTGGACACCGTCGATCTCTAAGGGTCGTTGCAAGCATAAGGCGGCCGCAAAGCGCGTGGGTGCGTGCTCGCCCATGCCTGATGCTGGTACGTATCATAGGTTACGGGCTCTTGGCTTAGCTGCACACAGGCCAGCGCGCTATTCATCGACCCGTTTTGCAAGTGAAGATAGGTGCAGGTTGGAATTCTCTCACCTTGTCCTTAGTGTGCTGCTGCTCGGTGGCCGGTGGTGGTTCTGTGTCGAATCTCGAGTAGCTACAATACGTGTCTGATGTCGCTGGGAGTCCTGAGAGAGGGGGCCACAGGATGGGAGTGTGCCACCCGAAGCGGGGACAGAGGGGAGTCCGTGGGCGGCAATGAAGGGTCAATGCCCTCTGCCACTGGCCACTATTATGCGCAGATGCGCAGCATTAAGCGATCTTGTGGGGTGCTCTAGGGGTAAACATACATATGGTAGAAATTGGGTCCCACTGAGGAGTCGAGTTAGCCGGGAGTAATGCTAGTGGACGGCACGGGCAGTGGCACCCGAGGACAGAACCAAATGATTCAATGGGCTTGGCGGCAGCCAGCGCGCAGTGTAGCCCGGATCTTGTACGTAGTACGCAAACACGCTGGGCGTCGAGTTTTCTCTCCATGACACCAACACTTTTGAATCCGGGACGAACACAAACAATCACAACAGCCGCGACATCGGCCCTTTCTTCGTGAGATCGTTCGAGGCTTGCCTATTCGTTTGTTTCCTTGGCCGCGTAGCTCGGCACAGCGTGTCCCCCGTCATGAATTTACCGCGTTGTCACTGCCTGCACACGAGTCGGACCGTTCTTCAGTGTAAACGTATTGACACGCACACATTGCAAATCCCTGAAGACCCTGGTTAAGGCTCGCTTGCTTGTTGACTAATCTCTTTGGACAGCATTGCATGCTAACTATCAGACACTATATTGAACAACCTCTTCGGCGCAATCCATGTGTTGACGGGACCCAAACGCCAAGGGCTCCAAGTCGATCCTCGGGGAGGGCACGAACAACATCGACTTTTCGTGCGACGATGAAAAAATGATAAAAGTTGAACCTAGAGAAATCAACCATTACACACACAGCCCACGAGGGGGGCCGGGTCACCGCTTACTGACGACATCAGCAACCGCCCCGACTTCGTCCCCCCCCTCGTCGCCGGAAACTTCTACAGGAACCCGGACGTGGTGCGTCAACCCTCCACGTCGCTCCCCAACCTTGCAAGGGATACTTCCCGGAGGAACCCAGTAGCTCTCCGCGTGCCGCTTGCCGTCACGGCACCTCCGAGGCGGCGGCGTCGTTGGGAGGCGATCCCGCGACTTTGGTAGGCGGGACCCGGGTCTCCTGCCGAGCCGCGAGCACCGAGAAGGATGACGCTGCCGGGTGTCTTCTTTTCCCTGCACGTTTGGACTGAGGATATACATATCGTACCAGCAGCGGCAGTAGTGAGGCATCACGCACCGCGGGGGAAAGAGTGACCGGGTGGGGAAAAGAAGTTGTGTGTGTGTTTTTTTTTCATTATTTGCATCGACCACTAACCGGCTGACCGATGAAAAGACGTCAGTCTCAAGTGAGGTGGAAAACACAAAACACTTCTTAATGCCATTAACTGGGAACCCGTGAGGGGGCTGGCATGGGGGAGACTAACCCGTTCTTCGGATCAAAGACAGGAACGGAAGCAACAGTGTGTGTTTTTGGGACGACACAGCCGTTTCATATTCTCAGGTCGCCACGGCGGTGGCAGGCTTCTACTGCTGCACCCCGAAACGCACGCGGACGATGCCTACCCGAAGCGAGGCCGTCCACCTCGCGTAAAAGCAACCGAGTCTCGAGTTACTTACAGCAGCCGCCTTTGGGGTTTCTCCACACTTACCCGCCACCACCGATACCAGAGAGGATGGTCACGGCCCCCCGGATCGCTTCTCGCAGCTCATCGGTTTTCCGTCCTTCATTTCCTCCGTCTCCAGCGAGGACAGCCCCCGGCCTTGCCTGCGCCGCGCGCGGCCGCCGCCCAATCCCACGGTCCGGCGGCGGTCCCGGGGAGGCCTCCCTCAGGATCGACTCGAGCGCCGTGCGAGCGGCGCCCAGAGCTATTCTCCTTCCGTTGTCGCTGTCGGCGAACGAGGAGTTCTCAAGGATTTCCAGTATCTCGCGCACGGAGCGATGGGCGCCGGTGTCACCGCCGCCGGGGTCTTGGGCAACAGCAAGCTCCTGCCGGGTGACAGCGATGGATTTGGCAGGAGCGGTATAGGCAGGGGGAAGGAAGGGCGTGGGTCGGTTGTTGGTTTCACGGCCCGTTGCGCTCTCGAGGGACCGCGGCCCTCAGCTTTATCCCATCGATTCCGCCCATAAACAGAACTCGTGGGCTAGCACCGCTGGTGCCTGCACGTCTTCCCCTAATCCGCAAAAAAAAAAAAACATGGACGAATTAAATACAAAATCAAACACCGCCAAACATGCTAGAGCGTTGAACAGCAGTTTTAAGTCAACAAGTGATGGTCTTACAAACAACGAAGGGATGCGCCAAAGCGGAGTTTTCGGGTGATCATGAAGATGACGATGCGTAGGGAACGTTTGTAGCACAATCGGCGAAAGGGATGACGGAAACAGCGCAGTGCTTTTCTCTGCGCGCGCTGCTCAAAATCATGGATGAGCGAGCGATCGTGCAGCCATCTTCGGCGCGACCGTTGCAGCAAGCGAGGTAGAGGCACCAGCAGGATGGCTAACCCCAACTAACCTCCGTAGCCCTCTCGACATCGTGCAGCGCTTGCCGGCCGAACCCGCGAGCGTCCCCCCTGCGCGCCTTCGCCGAACGACGACGCTCTTCAGGGGTGGCGGAAACGGCGCGCCTGCAGCGGCCTCGGCGGCCCCCAGCCGCACCAGCGGACGGCGTCATCCCGCTCGTGCCTGCCGGTCTCGCGGAGTCGGCGCCGTCTACCAGAGATTCCCCCGCCGACCTCGGACGGCAACGAACGATGCGGTCACCCTTTCTGCAAATATCATCACCCTGTGGTGTCGGTTTCGCGGCGGCGTTGAGTCAAGACGCGACAAACGTCAAAACGGGGAGCAGGTTTGGGTAGGGAGAGGGTAGGGTGCCCAGGAGTATGGTCACAGTTTCGTCGCAGGCTAAGCAGGCCGCAATTGCTCGACCAAAGTGGTACCGGATGGCGGACAGGTGCAGCAAGTACAGGTGAAACTAAAGAATGGGTACTACTGTAGGAGCTCTTCAAAAGAGTCAAATCTCGCCTGATGCCTGGCTGAACAAAACCGACGTATATTGCTTGTAGGCACCGTTGTCGCCAGATTCTGACAACATAGGCGAGGATCTACAAAAGTAGACTGTAGGAGCTCACCAAACGATCGAGGACAGTGGTGACTTCCTCGTGCCTCTCCTTTGCGAGCTTGAACGATCTCACGGCGATGGTCTTCGCCAGGTTCTCTACACACGATCCAGGCACAGGAGCAACGGCCAGGAGCAGAAGGTTGTTTCGCGAGACCCCGGGGGGGGGGG